AATATTGCATAATTATAGTATTTAAATATGCGTTTAAATCTGTATAAAATGCTGAGGATTGTGTCATTCGAACGTAGTTCAGTTGTTTAAATCTCTAAAGATGCACATCAAATGGTTTATTTACATTTTTATATACACCTACGTTGTAGGCAGAATCGTTTGCGAGAAGGTTCGTTCATCACAATTGAATTGTGCAAGAATATTCACTATAATAATCTAAGTTCTTCAAAAAGCATATTCTTTTCAAGACGTCGCGCTGTATTCGAAAGAGCAATCTAATAACCAATATGGAGTGCTCTAATGATAATACCACCCTGTCGTTTAAGATACATACGGCCAAAGAGATTGCAAAATGTTACGGATTATCTAATATTAGTTTCTATGTATTTGGCAATAAGCACACAATACAACTGAGAAAATTACGTACAGAGCTCTGCGATGTTACGACTGTGTATAAGCCGCGCACTTTGATGTCGTTGGTAAATCAGGGCATATATGGTTCGATCAACAACTTTCCCCGACGTTGTCCTTTGCTTACGGTGAGTTATGCTTTGGGAATATATTCTAGAATAATTCATATAATTATGAATGATTATAGAACACCACGTATTATATGGACAATATGCAGTTCGATGCCAAGTTTTTGCCGAACTATATATCGGAATACAATTTTACATATAATGGCAGGGTCTATATGAACAGTGTGCTAACGATGGAGGTGGAAGTCATTGGATCATGTTGTAATATCGGAAATGACTGCAGATGAAATATATGCATGATTATATTTACATATGCATATATGCATAATTATATATATTTCCGTGTGATTTTTTTCTATCTCTATTAATTGATTCAATGATTATATTGTTCAACTCGTCTCGTCAAAAATCAATTAGATTTCTGAAAAAATTACTGTTTATAATATTACGTTTGTCTCTCTGCAATTAGTCGCAATCGAATTCTGTACTGTGTTAGTTTGCATTTCAATAAAAACTATAAGAATGAAACAAAAACATTTCACATATGTTCTTATTCTTATCTATGTGCTGAGTGCTAGCTGCTCCACTAAGGTGAGTTCTTCACTTTATATCAGTGGCAATTTTAACGAATTTTCGTGTGAAGAAAATCATTTTTAGAGAAGTTCAATGTCAGCTGAAAGGCAATAAGGTGCAAAAAATTGAATGTTTTATGGAACAGTCAAACTCATTTACCATACGGCTGAGGACCAATGACATTAAGATAAACAATTTGGTGGGCATATCGGACTTAACATTGAATATAAATGGCAAACGGGATGGAATGCGCTTTAAAGGCATACGCTTGGATTTATGCAAACTAAATGCCAGCAAACAGCCATCCATATTGAGTATTATGCAAAACGGCCTATCAAATTCGGAAAACAATTTACCCAAGAACTGCAACTTTCAACGGGTGAGTCAAGCATGTTGGATTCTGAGATGACCTGAGATGAAATTTATTGAAATGCTTACAGAATACCACATACTATGTGCGTCACGTTAAGTTCGATACCAATTCTTTGCCATTATTTATGCCGGAATATAATTTCACATACATTGGAAAATTTCATGTGAATTATGTGAAAACCTATGATATGCGTATAACAGGTTCGCTGCTCTATGACAAAAACAATGCTAATTATACAAAAATCTGATCGAAAATGTTGCCTAATTACTGTCGAATTGCAATTGTATGAAAAATATATAAATGAATAACTAAATAACAAGAATAGTGTCATATAAATATAATGATCGCCAGTCTGTATTTTATTCATAATTTTGTTGTTCGCTAATCAATTTCATAATGCCTAAAAAACTATATCTATTTGGATTCTGTATCGCTGGACTGTTGACCTTGGGTGTAGCCCAAAAGGTATTTTAAGCTCGATCAGGATAAATAAAATAGTATTAAACTTCCATCCATTACCATACAATTTTCTTAAGCGCATCACATTTCGCGGCTTGAAATGTGAGAATAAATCCAACAAATTATCAAGAGTTTCCTGTTTTTTGGAAAATACTACTGCATTTACGGTGGAATTAGCGGTGGGCGACAAGGATATCAATAATTTCAGTGGCTTAGTGGAAATGACGCTCTCTCACTATCAGCCCAAGGGAAATAAAGTGAATGTAGGCCGTTTGGATATATGCAAGATGCTATCGGCTCTCATACGACCCTCGGTGCTGAGCTTTGTCTATGATGGCATACAGAAGGCTCAGCACAATTTGCCATCCAAATGTCCCATTAAGAGGGTGAGTCAGAAACACACAGTTGACCTTGACTTGAAAGAGAAACTTATCATTGATCGCTTACAGAATGTTAAATATATAGTGCGACATATGGTATTCGATCCAACTAATATGCCCATATTCCTGCCCGAATATAATTTTACGATTTCGGTTAAATACTTTGGAAATAATGGCAATCTATTTGATTTCTTTGCCTGGGGCTCGTTTTGCGAAATTGGTAATGAGGTCTGTCTAGGCAAAAATACGAATTAAAATAAATCATAACATTTTCTCTTTGTTTGATGAATTTTATGCATGAATAAAGCAAATGAACGCTGCTTTAAAAATGTCATTAAAATATTTTTTTGAATTTATCTTGATGGAACGTGAAGTATAGAAAATTGATACAGTTATTTCTAATGTTAGTATACATATATCCAATATTATGGATTATGCATAAACTAACAAATATTAATGGACAAAATTATTTTGAATTTTATACTCCATTGGATGCTAGTCGCTTGCCTGAACGAAAATGTATATAGTTGAATGGATGACATATATATAGACAAATATAGAGGCGAATCGAATGTTATTAACTCACCTGCGTGAACAGGTGCCAAAACGATATTTTTAAATTTACATCAACTAGAATTCATTCTATACCTACATACATATATCCCTCCTAAGTCATTAAATACTATTTCATATATGTTATCAAGTTCTTTGAGCTGAGTACGGATTTCTGAATGCCTGTAATAATTGCACGGGAAGCATGGGCCCGAGTACATAATTGTACGAGTATCACGAGAGCAAATAGTTGGAAGAGCTATGGCTGAGTTACTTTGTCGAAGAGAGCGCATGAGTTTCACTCAAGGCAGAACCGGCACGGGAGAGAACTAGATCGAAAGAGCGCGAGAGAAACTGTGTGTGTGCGTTTGTGTGTGTGAGAGAGGGAGTCGCTCGAAGCCGGGTTTGAGCTGCTGGTCCGGTCTTTAACTAAGCCCAGCGACAGCTCTCCAATCGACAGTCTGCCATCCAAACTCGACCGAAGCGGTACGCATGCGCGCACAGAACGCAACTATTCGATATATATGAAAAGAAAAAAAGAAAAAAACTATTTAAACCAAAAGTGTTGTGAATCAGTTCAGAAATCACAAGCTATATAAATATATACAATATTCATATAGGTGTTTTAGCTATATATATATGTATAGATAGAGAAAAGACAGCAACGCAAACGTGAATACGGCAAAGCAGAAATAAAAGAGAGAAAAAAATAATAAAAAAGCATAAAAATTCCAGAGATCGTTCGGTGTGCGGCATACAGCGTGAATGTTGCGGACGGTCAAGCGAACAAAAACCCTTAAAAAATAAGAAGGCAAAAAATAAAAAATAAAATCAAGCAAAGGTGCGAGACAAGAAATTAAATTGATAAACCTTAAAGCAAACGACCAACAACAATAACAACAACAGCAACAACGAAAAGCCTTGACCGTGCCTAGTCGCCGAGCCTTGGCAGGACTTGGTTTTGCCCAGCGACTGGGACTTGGACTTGGACTTGTCGCGCTGCTGTTGGCAATTATCAAGCGCAGTGCATCAGGCTGGGAATGCCAAAACGACTGTAGACAAGTCCACTTCGCTGTATGTGTGTGTGATTGTGTGTGTGTTACGCGCGCGCGTTCGTGTGTGTGTGTGGTAAATAGCTCAAAGCCACGAAATTGCTTTTATCGCCGCGCCAAAATCGCCAATTGCGCAAAAATTGAAAGAAAAAAATAAATATA